AAAAAAAAAAAAAAAAAAAAAAAAAAGGAGAGCTGCAACTAGAAACTCACTTGCATCCTTAAGAATCTTCGAAGTGTAGCTTGTGGCTGCATTTTCAGCTGTAGATCTCGTCATACCCTTTTTCCGTGATTCCCTCTTCGCAAGAAACTTCTTAACCACCAAAAAACTTGCACAAACTAAAACCGCGCCTGCAATAGCTCCTCCACATATGCTCAAAGCAAGAATCACTTTCTTTGCTCGTTTTTGCCTACGCAAATGGGGCAATATCCCCACGGCTAGAGCCGCATTCTTGCAAAACGAAACCGGCTGTTGATTTACATTGCCATTTTGCAAGCAATTCTCGCCATAGGTCACTATTCTTTTTTCCGAGCCAGACACCAAACAAGTAGGCAGTTTACCCGTCAAGAGATTATCAGTGAGGTTCACAAAATAAAGCCCGTCATTACAGGCCAGATTTTCAAACAGCATGCCGGTGAGTTTATTTCCAGAGATATCAAGATAAGCAATCGACGGAAGTGATAAAATAGGCACCGGAAAGGGCCCCACAAATCTGTTGGATGAAATATCTAAAGTTTTTAGCTGATATAACCACTGAACTTTCTCAGGAATACCAAAGGTGAATTTGTTGTTTTTAAGCACAATGGTCTCTATTTTATCGCCAACCGAAGGAAACCGAGGCCCGAGGGAATTATTCGCCAAGTCGAGCATTTGAAGGTTAGTTAAGCCACTAAAATCAGGCACTTCACCAGAGAAATTATTACTAGACAGCACAAGGACTCTGAGGTTTTCCAAATCCTCGAGCGATTTCGGCAAGTTACCGTATAAAGAATTGCCTTTTACATTCAAGACAGCTATTGCCGAAAGTGAACCGAGTCCTTCAGGAAGCACACCGGTGAAATTATTACGTTCGAGTATAAGAGTTTGAAGGTGTTGTAGTGAAGATATAGAGTGGGGTATTTGGCCTTGGAGGAAATTTGAAGTAAGATTAACTATTTCGAGGGATGATAAATGCGCGAATTCGGTCGGCAAAGGTCCCCATAGGCCGAGTGATACCAATGTGAGGACTTTTAAGCTGGGAAGTTCCGCGAGCGTTGTGAAAAAGGAATCAGTCGAGAAATTATTGGGCAGTCGAGGAGTATCGAGATTTCCGACTAAGTGCAGCTGAGTTATGCTTTCTTCGTAGCAGACAACGGTTAGATTTTCAGAAGGCTCGGCATTGCAAAAATCAGTGTTTTGATTCCATGTTTCGAGATAAGGTGGAGAGTTTAGGAGGGATTTGATTTTCAAAAGAACTTGTACCTGGGATGATTGTAGATGCTCTGCATTAGAAAGGTAAAGGACTATGATGAATGGAAATAATAGCAGCACTCTATGGACTATTTGTTTTCCCATATTGAGAAACTAATCTGGCTAAGGAGAGAAAGAGAGAGAGAGAGAGAGAGAGAGAGAGAGAGAGAGAGAGAGAGAGAGAGAGAGAGAGAGAGAGAGAGAGAGAGA